TATTGGTGGTGAAAAATATTCTATAAAAGTTGATGTATATACTTTTGGAATGTTAATGTGGGAATTCTCTTCCAATAGACCTCCTTTTTATGATCGTCCACATGATGCAAAACTTTTTAATGATATCTTTGAAGGTCTAAGACCTAAACAACGTGATGATGTTCCGGAATGTTATAGTGATTTAATGCAATTATGTTGGAATACAAATCCTACTCATCGTCCTTCAATATCGGATTTAGTAAAACGTTTCAGTGATTGGCATCTTTTTGCTAAAGAGAAAGATCAATTTGTTCTTTCCGAACAAAAAAGAATTAAACGTGTTTTGGCTAAAGGTTTAAATCCGGATCCGGGTCGAATGGCTACTCCTCCTAAAGTTCATCCTCAAGCTATATATACTAGTAGATTATTAAAATTTCCCGCTCTTCCTATACCAAAAAATTCTCAAAAAGGTTTACCAAAAAGAGCTAATTCTTATAATGATAGTGATAATGGTCGTACTCAAATGAGTACCAAAGATTTGGCTTCCATTCTTATTCGTGATGAAAGTAAGTATTTTACTACTAAACATTTATGCCGTAGGTGGGAATAGAATTTATGTTGAATTCTTAAGGTTAGGCTTGGGATTTTTAGTATAATTATTCCGTTCTAAATCTAAGTGATTCAGATTCCTTTTATTGTTCCATCCCCACTTACAACTTACACATTTAAATTTATATGTTATTTAAATTTAAATTTATATTTTTATTTACGCATTTAAATTTACGTTTACATTACTTTTACTTTCATATTTTACATTCTCATTATGTATTTCAAAGGTTTCTTTTCAACGGCTGCACTTATGCAACGACGTTCAGCTTATCCCGAACCAGAGGTTGAACCTGAAGATGAAGACGCTTTAAAACAATATGAATTATCTATCCCTAATGATTGTAAGTAACTAAAATTATAAACTCATTAAACCCATTAAAACTTGGATTAAATTTTTTATTATATATTTAGTGGATTGTGATGTATCTGACGATAAGGATGATAAACCATCACTTTCAGAATTAAATATAGAATCAATAAATATTTCACAGGATGATTCTTCTACTAATGGAATTACTTGTTCTAGTCCCACTGGTATTGAGAATGAGTATTCTTCAAATGGAATTTCATGTGCTAGTTCTACTAATGTGGAACATGTAGAATAATAGATTTTTATATAACTTGAGGTGTTGTAAAAGTTTTTTAAAATAATTTTGATTATATAATTTCATATTTATATATATATATATATTTCTTTAAAAATTAATAATTATAGGTCTAGTTAAATTTTGGGTTAAAAACAATTTTGTTAGAGTTATTAGTAAATATATTTATTGGCTGTTTTTTTATAATGTGTTCAATATCTACTTAAAATTAAAATCTTTAGATAAACGAAAATAAATTAATAAAATAATCTAAAGATTATTTATGAAAATTTTACAATCTGGTTTTTTTTTCCTGGTTTTATTTATATTTCTATACCATCTTTCATGCTTATTTGCTCTTATTTACGAAATGGACTAAATCTTGATACATTAAAACTAAGAGAATAAATCCTAAAGATATAATGGCGCAAAAATTAAATTCTCACAAAAAAATCATCTACGGCAATTGTATCTAATGACATAAATGAGTATTATGCAATATAATACATATTTTTTTAATAAAGTTGATGCTTCCATATGTAATAAACTTTTCTCCTCGTAGCAAAATATCAACTTATCATCAATTTGTAAAACAGTTGGAAAAATTGAGTTCATTAGATATTGTTCAGGCAATGTTATTACCTAATTGTATTTAAAAAATAAAGGCACGGGATGTTCACAAAACTTTCTAATGAAATTGTTAAAGAAATATGGGCTGCCGTTAATGAAGATTAGGTAAATTCCTCTACCTGATTTAATAAAAAATTTTGTTTAAGTGGTCAAATCAAATCTATGCATGGTTCGACTGTTCTTGCGAATTGTTGTCATTATAATAATTTAAGAAAAAAAATCTTAAGACTTTTAAATTAGAATGCTTTTGGTATTTTAGATGAGTTACCGCGCGTAATAACGCGCATCGGCGCGTTATTTTGAAACCCTGGGCGTTATTTCGGGACGCGCATGCGCGGTAATTTGAATCATTTTTACAAATTTGGGTTACTCTGCTTTTATTAATGAATATGTATATTTAATGGATGCGTTATTTCGGGACGCGCATGCGCGTTATTTCGAGTCAAATATGCAATTTTCAAAGAAAAGGCGTGTTTCAAAATAACGCGCAGATGCGCGTTATTACGCGCCAATACTGTATCTAAAATCATAAAATAATTATATTTTTATAGCGGCAACATTTAGCAAGGTAAAATATAAAATATCTTTGAATATTGTACTGGATCAAAAGTATATAGCAGTGATATTATATAATCTAGTTGGGTTTTTTTAAATTTGTTCTAACAATAGATCATAGAAGATTCTTTATACTAAGGTGACCTTTTGGATCTTGGCATGTTTATTAACATTAGTTCAAATGCTAGTACAATTATAAGAAATATATCTGATTTTGTTATATTAATAAGAGTATAATTGGTTATATATACAAATTTATTATTTTCTACTTGAGTTCTGCTATATCTATTTCTATTTATAGTTATTTATATTTTTTTTAATGTTAAAGTGAGGTTTTGCTTCATGTTCTTTATTATAATATTTAGTATTTTTTTTTTTTTTTTCCACTTAGGCAAGATCGCACTAGTGATCGATGTTTAATAAAGCTTCAATCTTGTGGATGACTACAAATATATCGCTATAACATTAAACCTATGATCCTAACATCCCACAGCTGCTCTAACAAGTGCCTATTGGCGACCTGCTGCACCGGCGAGGTAAAACCTAAGTAATACCCTAACCGGAGGGCTTGTTCAATCCACCATCCTACAATAGGATACCATCAATCTGATGACATCTTGTAGAGAAGTAAAAAGAAAAAAAAAACTATATATAAAAAAACCACAGAGGTATAAAGGAATACGATAAAAGATACAAACAAGAAGAGAAAGGTGTAAGGAAAAAAATGAAAAAAAGAAAAATATAGGATTTTTTACCCACACTGGACAGTCACAATTATAAGTCTGTATTGGGTTTTGTAAAAATTACATATTACTATCTAAACTAGTCTCTACTCTAATTTAACTAATTAGTATAATTAAGCGAAAACCTTAAAAGAAAAAAAAAGCTCTTTGACATCAGCACTGTACTTTAGCATTATAAGCTCTTCAGCTTCTTTTGTTTAAACTCCTATAGAAGCATAAATAAAAGTGCACTTTGGGCACTATAGAGAAGTCAGAAATTCGCACAGTTGGTCTCGAAGCATTGTTTGTCTGAGTTGTCACTTTCGAGTAGGGTTGGAGGCATGGAAAATTTTGGGGGCATGCTCCCTGTAAATATAAATTATATTTCATCGATCTTATAAGATAAATTGCTATATTTTCCAAAAATTTCTGACATTCATGTATTCATTGATTGTCTATATCCTGAATTTTTCCGATATACTTATACTCTATTCTCATTAACTTTAACGGTAGATCTAAGTATACTTATACTCTATAGTAGTGTTCCGAAGTTCAGTTCAGTTCAGGTTCAGGTTCAATGAACCTGAACTTGAACCTGAACCTGAACCACAAATTTTGCAGATTATTGAACCTGAACCTGAACTGAACTTTAGATTTATGAACTTGA